AAAGAATGGAGTAGAGGACAAAGAAAAGAAAGGGAAAGGGAAAAGGAGAAGGGGTAAGGGAAAGGAGGTAAGAAAAATGAGAAGAGGGGAAAGAAGGAAGAGAGAGGAGGAAAGAAAAAGGAGAGGGAGAAAGGGACAAGGAAAAGGGGAAAGAAGAAGGGATGCAAGGAGAAGGGGGCGGGAAGGGGAGCCGAGGCCCTCAGGAAGAGCAGCGGGAAGAGGGAAGGAGCAGGACGCGGTTTGCCGGGCGGGGTCCGGCCCAGCCCCTCACCTTGTGGTTTTGGTAGGAGGTGACGGCGATGAAGGCGGTCTCCGGGAAGACGTGGGTGCAGAAGGCGGTGTTCTTGGAGCCGAAGCCGTTGTTCTCGTCCGCTTTCACGATGTGAAGCCGGGGCTGGTACTTGTGCATGGAGTTCAGGATGATCTGGGCAAAGGGAGAAGGAGAGAACGTCCCGTGGGAATGGAGCTGGGACAGAGCGGCGCAACCCCAGCTGACAGGGAGAGGGGAAGAAGTGGAGAAGAGGGATCTCCTTCCCAAAAATCCTCACCCTCTTCATTGAGAAGGGCTGATTTAGTTGCTGGGGTAGGGGGACACAAACCCCCTCACTCAAGGAGCCCGTCAGGGCCGGGTGATGCTATGAAAAGTGGTTCCACACCCAGCACCCCCAACCCCAGCCTCGGGCTGCGCTGCTCTTTCCCCCCACGCCCCCGAGGGGTCCGGAGCTGCTCCCCCAACACGTTTCGACATCCTGAACCTGTTGCTGGAGGGCCGGGGGAGACTTTTCGCCTTTCCAGTCCCTTCACAGCCCCCCAAACCTCCCAGCTCACCACCACGGGACATCACAACCCCCCCACACCCCAGCGGGGCAAAGAGTCCAGAAAGAGCGAGGGAAGAGGAGGACCGGAGAGATTTAGGGACACATCCTCCCCCCCCGCCCCGTCAGCGACCCGCAGAGGATGCGAGGAAGAGGAGGGTGGCGGAGGTGGGGAGGGATGACGCGCCGTGCTCAAGATAAAAAGCGGTCCCTGCTCGGTACCGGGTTAATCTCGGGGGAAAATGGGGGGACCGAGGAGGGGGGAGCGGCGACGGGGGGCCGCTCGGTCCCGATAATGACTGCCGGACCCTGGCGACAGCGAGACGCAGCGCGTCCCGCCGCCGCCTCCCCCGTCCCGGGGGTTTAAGCAAATTGCTTTGACATCCAGGAAAGTCGTAGACATCAACGGTGAACGATCTAATGGTTTTTAATTTCATTACAGCGACTCTAATTGAGAGGCTCCTGGCGCAGCTCCTCCTCTGAAGTCCCTTATTGTCCCCTCAGCGTCTTCGGTTTGTTTAGAGGGACTTTTTCCCCACAGCCGCCTGTTCCCAGCGGGGATGCCCGGCCTCGTCCCGCCGGGCCGGATCCCCCCCTTCTCTAGGACTGCTCCCCAAAAGCACCCCGGGGGGTGGGATGGGTCCCCCTGGCTGAGCTGCTCCCCTCCCTCTTCCCGGAGCGGGTGGAGTTGGGGAAGATCCTAATCCCTGGAAAGCACCTCTTGCAAACCGCTTCGCCGCCAGTCCAAG